TCCCCTTTTTTTTTTTTTTTTTTTTTGTTGACTAATATTGTTTGTTCTCTTTCAGAAAAAAAGATGAAGAGTTGGATGCTGTTATGCTAGCTGCTCTGGCACTGGTCTATAATTTGAAACAGTTAAACGGTTTAAACAGACCTGGGAACCAGGCTGTTGTTGATAACTTGCAGTTACAGACAGCATCACTGCTCGCACTCTTTGTATCAGATCATTTTGGTGGCAGTGATAGAGGTGCTATTGTAGATAGGACACGAAAATCTGTGTCTGGTTCAAACTATAGCAAGCCTTTTGTCTGTACATGCTCAACTGGAAGCAGCACCAGTATAAGTGCTTCAACCAAACCTGTTGTAAACACCACAGAAGATATCACTCTTGCTAAGATGTCTGAAAAATCTCTTCACTCTATAAAAAAAAGGCGAAATTCAATCATAGTTCCTCTTGGCTCTGTGCAGTATGGTGTATGTAGACATAGAGCTCTGCTTTTTAAGGTAATCATTGTTGCTAAGTTCATACTATAGTCTTGTGTATATATTTTGTGCTGTAGCTTCTGTTTTTGTGCATTATTGTGATGATGTAATGCTAGTTGATTTGCTTTACAGTATTTATGTGATCACATGGAGCCTCCAATTCCTTGTGAGCTTGTCAGGGGTTACCTGGATTTTTCACCACATGCCTGGAATATCATTCTGATTAAGAGGGGTGCAACATGGGTTCGAATGCTGATTGATGCTTGTCGACCTCATGATATAAGAGAAGAGAAGGATCCCGAATACTTTTGTAGGTATGTACCCCCTCTGAGTTTTAAGTGGATGTGGAACGCCTTTTCTTTTTGTAAAACACAGTTTGGCTTGGTTTTATATAGTATTCTCTCATTTATATTGCTATCACTTGATTTGGCTGTATTTAATTTTAGTTTTATATGTTAATGAAGTTTATTTATAATTGATTTCTTGTTGAATTATAGCTTTTGGTATTATTAGTTCTGCTCCTGTTATAAATTCAGTATGTGTTAAATAATCATCAATCATTTGGCATTTTAGGATTTCAATTGATTATTACAATTAGATTTTGTATCATATTGTAGCCTGTAAAGAATATTGCTTATGGTATGAAAATACTAAACTAAAACCAGCAAAGCTGGCTTCAATTTTAGTCCAAATATTTCTGTAATATAATATCTTAATGGAATCTAACTTTTTATATAATTAACGAATATGAACGAATTTCTTAGATTTCTTTAAACTCAGTCACGGTGCATGTTTGGATAAGGTGTTCAAGCATACTTTTGGAAGTAAGCATTACATTGTGTGTGTTTTTATTTATTTATTTATTATTAAATATCTTTATGTAAACCTTCCTGAAACTAAATGAATATTTATGACTTTGAATATGATAGGTTTTAGACTGTTGGATAAGTTGTTTGGTCGGCATTACATTTGCTATAATGAATAAAATTTAGACCCAACATGAGCTTGTTTGGTAATTGATAGGCATTGGAAGCACTCTTCATATTAAGTACAATTTCACTTAACACTAAGAATTTATTCATCATCTGAGAACTTTATTTAAGGTACAATACGAGAAGAACATCACGAGACAAACACTCAAGCTACTGGATAACTTTTTACTTTGTACATTGTGTGGTGAACAATGAACAACACCAACAAAATTATGTTAGATTAAAATTACTACAGTACCCTTTTAATATTAGTTATCTTATCGGGTTTTTATTAATCATCTCAACCGGGGTGATGATGGTGATATTAGTGGTGGTGATGCCAATAGTGATAGTGGCGATAATGGTGATGATATCAGTGGTAGCGACTGTTTTGGTAGTGGAGACAATGTTGGTAGGGTGCAAGGTGGTGATAGGTGGCAGTGGTTGGCGGTTGTTGTAAAGGGTTGGCGGTGGTGGTGGTGCAACAATAGTGATGATGGTGGTTGGTTTTTTGTCTTTTGAGTATTTTATACTTGTGACAAAAGGTTGTCCTATGGCTTATTAAGCAACGAAAAATATAACTTTTGTCTTGTCTTTCTTCATCTGATTTGTCTTGTATCATGATCTTTTTTAAATCAAACATGGAACATTTATATTTGTCCTTCCCAGTACCCTGATTTTTAACAAATCAAACAAATCCTTAAATTTTGATTTCTGTGAAATTCTATGATTATTCAGAGTCTGATGACTTGGATTCCAGGTACATACCTCTCAATCGAACCACAATCCCCCTTTCATCTGGAGGAAGTCCAGGTCCTGATCATTCTTTCCTATCTCTAACCACTTGTGATGAACTCGAGACAAAAGCTTCAACTACTTTAGTTAAATGCAAATTTGGATCAGTGGAGGCTGCAGCAAAGGTTTGTAATCTATACCATTAATAAAGGGGATACTATTGTTGGCAACTCTTTTTGTTCTCCACAATGTTTTGGACTATTGTGCCCTTAATAGAAATACAAATATTATTAGTCCTTTTCTTCTCCACTTTTTTTTGGCATCCTTCTACCACCACACTCACGGAAGGTTTTTTGGCCATGAATTGATCCATTTCCTGTTTGTTATATAAATTGTTGTTGTGAATTGTAATTTTGGATATATAATATAAATATAATATGTTGCTCTTTATAAATATCTTGTGTGGTATTGTAGGTGCGCACTTTGGAAGAGCAAGGGAGTTTGGCAGAGAAAATTAAAAATTTTGAATATAACTGTTTGGGAGAAATTAGAATTCTTGCTGCTTTAAAACACCCCTGCATTGTGGAAATGTATGGACACCAAATATCATGTCAATGGTCTATCTCAGCTGATGGTAATCCTGAGCACCGCGTATTAAGATCTGCAATTTTTATGGAGTATGTGGAAGGGGGCTCCTTAAAAGTAAGATTTTTTATATAATTTTATTATTATTAACACGTTTTTGGTTGCTTTTATTAAATTACACTTTTTTTCCTTGCAGAACTATCTGGAGAAGCACTCAAAAGCTGGTGAAAAGCATGTTCCTGTGGAGTTGGCTTTGTATATTGCCAAAGATGTCTCATGTGCTTTGTCAGAGTTGCACTCAAGGCACATAATTCATCGTGACATAAAAAGTGAAAACATTTTGATTGATTTGGATAAGAAGAGAGACGATGGAACTCCTACTGTGAAGCTGTGTGATTTTGATAGTGCAGTGCCACTAAGATCAACTTTACATGCATGTTGTATTGCTCATGTAGGAACGCCTCCTCCTTGTGTATGTGTTGGAACTCCTCGGTGGATGGCTCCAGAGGTTATGCAGACAATGTATGAAAAGAACTCTTATGGATTGGTAAGATTCTCCTACTGATCTGCCATTTATTGAGATTGAAATATATGAACAATATCAGGAATTTTATGTATTACTGATGTATAATTTTCAAAAATTTAATTTTGAACTTCTCTATGTTGTTGGAAAAGGATGTTGTATTTATGTAAATGTACTATTAATAAAAATAATGGGAGGTAGTTCTCTGCGATGTTAAAGTACAATGTATTTCTTTACCAAAAAAACTTTATACACTGCTAAAAGAAATTAAAATATATTTTGGAATAATGACTTGTCCCTTTCTTTCTCCAATTTCCAAATTTTCTTCAACACTTGTTCACTGTCCCTATTATTGCATTTCTGCATCTATGTCCCACCTATTTGTGTACAACGCCATGTACCCATTTTAATAGTTATATTACATATGCTAATGGGAGTTATATAAGCTTTGGCAAACCTAGAGAAAATGGAACTAGAGACCCAGCATTAGATTCCCATTAGTTTCAAATTTAACTAATTGTTTTATAGTAATTTAGGTAAATTGATTACAAAGCCCATGGCCGAAGTTGGATTATTTTGGTTGCTCTTTTAAGATATTTTGATATATGTGAAAAGGGAAGCTATTGACGAGACTATCAGAGACTAGATTAGTTTTATATATAATTTAATCTTGGTGTTATCAGCATTACATTCTTGACTGTATTATTTATATATAATCTCCTTGAATGATACCTCAGAAAAGCATGAATATCTGACAGTATTCTTGACATGGATAACAACTAGTAAATCATGGCTGATATTAATATTTGATATAAAGTTGTCTTGTTTTCTTTTAGGTCACTATACTAGTATGTAAGCTGGTGCAATGCATGGGCCAATTTTTTTACAAGAGACTAATTAATTACTATTATATTTTTGAAGTATTAGGAATACCTAGTACTAAGGAATTTAAATGTTTTGTATATTCTATTATTGAATGGAAACTAATTCAAAGAGTTTCGTTTTGCATAATGTATAAAGTTGTGTTCTGTTGTAGGTTATAATGATGGGACTGTGTTCAAAAGATTTTATCATTGTATGATACTATGATTTATATGTTTGTCCGATGTCGTCTTTGGTATTCTCCTTTTATTATTGTGTTCTAATTGCATCATTTAGAATGTGTTCCTTAGGGCACTAAGTCACCAATTTGGATGGATATATTATTATGTAATTCATACTTTGGAAGAGATTACAATCGCATAGGGACAAAGGGCTAAAGTAAATAACATCAGTACTATTACAATTATTTTAGGAATTTTGTTGTCCCGTTGCCTTGTAAAATTTTCAGTTTATTTCTCAAAATTGTATGATATCCCCGGCCTAGTGGGACCAAATTTGCTGTTCCATTCCGCCCTACCCTTGTTTTGGTTAGAGGCACAAGTGCATATGTTGCTCATGACTTTAGTTAAGAATAGATGTATAATGAAAATAATTTAATTTGCTACGAAACCAGAAATAGTATCTTGATTTGTAATTTATCTTTTTTTGTCTTGTGACAGGAAGCTGACATTTGGTCGTTTGGATGTTTACTTTTGGAGATGCTGACTCTACAAATTCCATATTCTGGACTTCCTGATTCACACTTCCTTGATAATCTGCAGGTATGGCTATCTTTTGCTCCACGTTTTGTATTCCATGGGCAGTGCTTGTACTATTTGTCTATTTGGTTGATGTGCTACTCTCTTCCTCTTTTAATTAATTTTTTCTACAATGAAAAATACAGTTGGGTAAAAGACCACAGTTAACTGATGAGCTGGAGGAGATGAGTTTATTGAATGAACCCACAATGATTCCAACTGCTGAAGAGCTGGAAAAATCAGATGTTGAGGTAGACATGTTGAAATTTCTGGTTGATTTGTTCCATAGGTGCGTGGAAGAAAATCCAAACAAACGTCCTACAGCCGAAGAAATCCATAAAATGCTGCTTGCACACACATGTCGCTTACAAGTTTAAGATTTTAGGAAGATTTAGGTAGGTTATTGGAGTGGCCCTGTCCTGAGGAAATATATTGTTACGATAAATATATTCATTCTTTTTCTTCCTAAATTGTGCTAGGGCTTATCCAAGAATAATTGTTTGTACTTTGTATTAGGTCCAAGTCTTCAGTGAGTTGTATCTTTTGTACATTTTTAAGGGGTTAGATCCATGCGGCAATGTAAGTGTGATCGAGATATTTATGTCGTAGTTGCTAGATCTCTTTCGGATTTTAAACGTATTTATGCTGTAGTAGTTAGATCCCTTTCGGATGTTAAACGTTGAGACGAACATGGGTTCAAGCATTCTGCAGGTGTTTCTGATTAATTTATTGATTGCATTGAATTGAATCCTCTGATTAATTTGTTGATGCCTTTGAATTCAGTCCTGTTTAATAGGAGCGCATATCTCAACACAACCCCCCGCCCCCCCAAAAAAAATGGTACTATGAAGATAGATGTGGAGTTTTTTCTCTCATATATATATCGGTTGTTTTCAAAGAACTGTAAAAATTTCAGGGAAATACATTGAAAATAAAGAAAAAGTCAGCAAAAAATGTCATGTGAGGTAGCATGATAATTTGTAGGAAGGAAAGGTTACCGAAGTCGTTTGAAAGTGCAGAGCATTTCAAATGAATTAAATTAGTCTTTCAATAAAACTATTCCCTCTGTTCCGTAGGTTTAACCGGAAGCAGGAATAGCATAAGTTAGCAACGACGTGGGCTATATTCTCTCGTGACAGTCTAAAGCATGCCACGACAATTAAATAATTACTACCTCGCTAAACTCATGTTTCAACCTATGTTGTATTTTTACTGGGTTTCACATGCAGCATTTGGTGTCATAATAGCCCTTTAATTATTTAGCAAAGAAAAAGTCGGCGTCCTTTTCCTCCAAGAATTAACAATTATTTAGAGACAGGGAGAGAGGTGCATTGCAGGATGGCAGAATGACACCCACCTCTCAACAGCTTGTACTCCAATTAGTTAAAATTGTTTAATGGGGTTGCAGATGCTTCATCCCTCAGCTGCTCTTTATGTTCCCTTTTCTGTGAGCACCTAAAGTTGAGACTGGGACGGAGAAATTGAATGGTCTTGGCATCCATATACAAAGAGTGCATGCAGTAAGTAGTAAGCAGTAGCAGCAACTTTGGACCACTCTACTCACAAGATACTTGTACTTATTACTTATATATTTCTCCCCTATCTGCCATATCCTTAATATGCTCATTAAAAAAATCATGTAGATATATGTATGTAGGGTTCTTAGGGAACGCAATCCCAAAACACTCTCTATCTTTGACAGTGGATTGTCGACACAACACTACCGAAAGTGTTTTTCTAGGAGGGCCCTCAACACTCGGTAAGAAGCAGTGAGCTCTATTTTGAAATTTTAGATACCAGTTTACTCACATATTTTGACCTTGAGTCAACAAACCTAGGGCAGATTTTTAGACATGAGTCTTAAGTAGACTGCACATGTGACAGAAAAATGAATGAAAGCGAAGAATGGAAATATCTTTTTGGCTTTAGATGCTGTTGTGCTTGCTTTACATGGGGTGGTGATGGTGCCTATTCCTTTTCTTTTTCTTGTCTCTATTTTTCTACCTCCTGACTTGGTTGGCATTTTTTGCTACTAGAGAGATTGAGACCCCAAATAACCAAACGAAGCATGCTGCGGACCACCTCTGGCCTCTGGGTTTGAGCCAGCCTGTTTTGTTGCAAGCTTGAGGCATATGTACATTGTGGACCATGATGTTGAGACTTAACAGTAATTTTTCTATTCTAGGCAACAATTACAATTTTGGCACTAAAATCTAACTTCCGTAACCCAATACTTTACTCGCAGATTTAATACATCCTATCATCTATTTCTATGGCAACGTTAGATAAAACCTCTATATTACCCTCCCATATTTCACATCACAGTCGACTTAACTTTTTTCACATATTTTTCTATAAACATTTCCCATTCGACTTTGATTCTCAGTTCACTATAAAGTAACCTAGTTTTTATATTTTCAATTAATCAAGCATTATTGTTGGTATGATTTTTTTTTACTGATTTATTATGAAACTTAATGACTTATCATAATTTGTGATTGAATGATTGTACAAAAATATTTTATTCTGTCAATACATCATATATTTCCTCATTAAATTGTTCATACATTTCTCACATTCTGGCAATCTACTTGGGCAATAGTTTTGCAAGTTGTTATATTTGGCCCTTGAATTAATTTGGCAATAGTTTTGCAATCATCGACATGTGATGGCTACGAATAAAAGATTTTATGGTGGTAGTCTCTTATTTGTCATAGCCATACAATATAAATATATATATATATATATA